TATGGGAAGGTAAGCAGCAGTCACATCAGGTAGGATCATTAAGTCCCATGGGAAGTCACTGAAGGGTTTTAAGAAGGTAGTAAATGATAAAATGTATACCCTAAAAAATCACCCCAGTTGATATTTAGAAAATGGATTAAGCAGAATGAATGGAAACAGACAGACTTTATAGGAACCTACTGCTGAATCCTAGATGAGAGATATTGGCAAGCTGGTCTTAAGAGAGAAAAGAATGAATATGACATGTATTTGGTGACAGAGTTGATGGGCTTGACATGAGATTATGCTATGAGGAGGTAAAGGAGAGGAAGTATCAAAATGACTCCCAGATTTCTTACTTCAAGGGAGGATGATGCCAGGAAGAAGTACAAAAATCACATAAATGGTAGAATATATGACTCATAGTATCTAGTATAACAGTGGAAGGGACAATCACCTTTACACCTTTAATTTTACCTTTACTTCTCAGGGTGGCAACACTAGAAGTAGTGAGAAGTGGTTAGATTAGGGATAGATTTTTTTTTTTTTTTGCAGTACACGGGCCTCCCACCGCTGTGGCCTCTCCCGTTGCGGAGCACAGGCTCCGGACGCGCAGGCTCAGCAGCCACGGCTCACGGGCCCAGCCGCTCCGCAGCATGCGGGATCCTCCCAGACTGGGGTACGAACCCGCATCCCCTGCATCGGCAGGCGGACTCCCAACCACTGCACCACCAGGGAAGCCCTAGGGATAGATTTTAAAAGAAGAGCTAACAAGATCTGCTGACATATTGTGGCAGACAGACACTAGGGTGGTCTTCATGATCCCTGCCTCCTGGTGTTCATACCCATGTATATAATATCCTCCCCTCGAGTGTGAGCAGGATCTATGACTTGCTTCTAACCAACAGAATATGGCAAAAATAATGAGATGTCATTTCCATGACATCTATCCTGCTAGCAGACTCAGGCCAGAGACTCTCCCTGTGGCCTGATAAGTAAGCAGCCATACTGGGGAAACCCTACCAATAAGGAACTCTGGACAGCCTCCAGGAGTTGAGGTGGCCTCCAGTTGACAGACAGCAAGAAGCCAGGGCCCTTAGTCCTACAACCACCAGGAAATGGGTGAGCTTGGAAATGGATTCCTGCCCAGTTGAACCTCTAAATTAGAACACAGGCCAGGTAACACCTTGATTGCTGAGAACCCAGTTAAGCCATGCCTAGAACCCTGACCAGCAGACACTATGAGGTAATAAATGTGTGTTGTTTTAATCTGCTAGTTTGTGATAATTTACACAGCAAGAGATAACTAATACATATACTGATATGGAGTGTGAAAAAACAAGAAGTCAAGAATGACTCTGAAATTTTTGGCTTAAGCCAAATAGAAGAATGGAGTGGTCGTTTACTGAGATAGGGACTTCTGGGGCAAGAACAGGCTTGGAGGAAAGATCAGTTTGGGACACATGGAGTTTTAGATGCCTATTGAGATGTCAAATAAAGAGGTGGGGATATGGGAACAGGTGATAAGTCTAGGATGCAGATATAAATTTGGAAGTCACCAGCATAAAGGCCAAGATATTACATGAGATCACCAAGGGAGTGAATACACACTCTCACAGAAGGGGACCAAGGACTGAGCCCTGGGGCACATCATCAGGCTAAGGAGCCTGAGAAGGAATGGGAAGTTAGAAAAAATGTCAAGGAAGTATGGAGTCCTGGAAGCCAAGTGAAGAAACTGTTTAAAAGAGGAGGGAGAGACTAGTTTTATCGAATGTTTGTGAAAGATCAAGTAAGATGAGGAATAAGAACTGAAAATTTAAAATCCACTCCTTAGTCATACTAGCCACATTTCAAGTGCTCAATAACCACATGTGGATAGTGACATGACAGTGTAAACACAGAGCATTCCCATCATAACCAAAACAGAAACTGTCCACTGAACAGTTCTGATGTAAAGAAACAGAAGACAGAAAAATGAGCAATATGTAGGTAACTGCTAAATGTGGTGGTGGGAGTTTGTGGAAGTCCTCTTTTGATAACCTTTATCTTTCAAAACAGAAATGGGAAACAAGGCCACTAGCTGAGCAGGAAAACAGGAGAAAATGTAGTGGAGATCTAAAAAATGAAAAGACAGTATGACAGCTGAGCAGGAGAATGAGAGATGGAATAAGAAAGAATTAATGAAATGTAAACTCCTGTGGGAGTTGGGATTGTTGGAGTTCACCTAACCTCTTGACTCTGTACATGCATATCTTTTGCCAAACTTGGGCACTTTTCAACTATTATTTCTTCAAATACTTTTTCATACACACCCTCTTCCTCCTCTTCTTCCAAGGCTCCTCTGGTGACAGAAATATTAAGATTTTTTGTTACAGTCCACAGGTCTCTGAAACTCTGTTCATCTTTTAAATGTTTCATTTTCTCTGCATTGTTCAGATTAAGGAATTTCTATTGTTCTATCTTCAAGTTCACTGGTTCTCTCCTCTGTCCTCTCCATTCTGTTGTTGAGAGAACTGCTGAAGCATTTTTATAATGGCTGCTTTAAAATCTTTGTCAGATAACTCTAATATATGTGTCACCTTGGTGTCAGTATCTCTTGATTGCCTTTCTCATTCAAGTTGAGATTTTCCTGGCTCTTACCATGACAAATGATTTTCAATTGAAATCTCAACATTTTGGGTATCATGACATGAGACTGGACCTTATTTAAATCTTCTGTTATAGCAGGCCTCCTCTGACACCACCCCAGTGGAGAGAGGGAAAGTCTACTCATTACTGCTGTTGCTGCCAGACAGGGGTAGAAATCCAGGCTCCCCACAGTGTCTCCACTGATGTCACAGGGGTGGGGGAGGCCTCATTAATGGCTGGTGGAGAAGTAAATCTCAGCTCCCTATATGGCCTTCTCTAACCCTACTCTGGTGGGATGAGGGGTGGTGGTTGGAGCACCTCACTTTATCCTGGCATAAGTGGAAATCTAGACTCTATACTAACACTTTGCTAGCAGGGGTGGGGGTGAAGCCACAGTCCTTTCTGTGCTGTTTGTCTAAGGTCGAGTGGTTATTTTCTAAAAGTTTTCTGTCTTGCTAAGCTGCCCCTTTCCTGGTCCTCGGGCTAGAGAAAACAGGGTTTTCTTGGGGCTTTTTCAGCTTATACCTATTAACATTTCCAGACTGCTGATTTTTCCAACATCAAGTCTGAGATATATGAGACTAAAGGAAAACGCTTGGAACTTACGATTATGTCATTTTTTGGGTCTTGAGGTCCCTAATAAGACTGCCTTCTTCAGAGTTTTCTTATGTTTGTTTTATATATAATGTCCAGGTTTTTTAACTGTACTTATCATACAAAGAATAGGGGAAAATGACCTTCATTTACTTATGATTTTTTAAAATTTCCTTTTTCATATTCTATTTCTTTTTTTTCATATTCTATTTCTAAAGGAGTATCTTTTGTGTTTATTTACTCTGTGTTCCTTCTAGGTTTGTCTTTAAATCTGAAATTATTTTAAAATTCTTTCCTAACTTCTATCATCTCATTTCTGAATTTTTCTAGTCTTGGTTATATTGTTCTTTCATGTATTTTATCATTTTCTTATTGTATGTTAGCTTACTTTGGAATACTAAGTTATAATTTTTGTCAGTTTTTCTATTATGCTTTCACATTGAAGGGGTATTATTCTACTTATTCTCTTCTTTTTTATAATAACTTTCTATGAGATTTGACCTTGATATTTTTTCTGTTGCTAAATTTTAATTTTTTTAATTTAATTTTTTTGTAATTTAAAAAAAATTTTCCTGAACCCTTATAGGAGACGCTTGATTTAGCTAGTTTTTCTAGCTTCTCAGCTCACTAGCTCCTCTTCTGTTGTAGTGTAGTGTCCAACTATTTGGCACCTTACTTGAGATCTCCTAGCTCTGTTCCCCTCTCAGACTGTTATCTGGACTTTCTTTCTCTGCTGTCCCTGTCCTGTTCAATTTGAATTCTATTCCCAGCAGCTTTTCTTCAGTGTGGGACTTTCTCCTACAAAGAGTCTTTGGCTGGTTTTTTGAAAGTTAATAAGGCACAAACTGTTCCAGCACCTTCAGATCCTACTACAGATCCCTTGAGCTCATCCCCACTACTAGAACATGCAAAATTTTCCCAATTCCAGCTGCTGTTCTCAAAGCAGCTTGCTGAGCTTTCCAGCGGGTCTTTGGGTTTACTGCTGGTGGGCCCACCGCTCCCCTTTGCTTACTCCTACATAGATACTGATAGCACAAAGGTCTTGTAGCTGTCAATGGTTTAACCCCACCTATTTGTGTGGATGCCTTCTGACCAAGTTTGTTATAGATATTATCCATGTGTTTTTTATTTTGCTATCCTAGTTGTTCTCTGTGCTTTAGTGACTATGTTTGGGGGATTCAGAAACTATACTATTACTGCCATATTTCCAGAATTCCTTAAAGAACAGATGCTGATTTTTGACAATCTTCATTAGTAGAAAATGTTTAGAAAAACTTTCCAGGGCACAAAATCAGCACAACAGTAGGTGTTCAAAAATTTCTCCCCAAAGTCAAACTCCATAGCTAATTCCACTGTGAAAACATACTCTCCCTTCAGGATGAGCAGCATGGAACCAGCAAAAGACCTTGAACCCTGGGAAGTATTAAAGAATGGCATAATTTCCACTAGCAAACTATAAATGCAAGCCGTTTAACCTATAGAAATGTTAATTAAATTAAGAGGCAAAGCAATCCCCTATTTATATAGAACCTATTATATATATCTAACACAAAATCTGAGAGACAGTGTCTGGAAAAGATGAATTGTTCTTTATTACAGCAATGAATTCTTTGTGGCTCCCAATTTCAAAAACTAAGAATATGTCCCCAAAAGTCTAGAATACAACTACTAAAATACTAACAGAGATTTTCTTCAGGAATGCAATTACTAATGATTTCTTTTCTTTTTGCTTATCTCTACTTTAAATATTTTCAAAATGGAAAAGTAAGCTTCTTGTAAAAATTTTTAAAACAACTTACGCTAGAACCATGTTGTAATCTGAGTGGTTGAACATATATCCTCCAACAACCCACATTATATTTCCATTGACCACAGCTTTGTGAGAGGCTCTGGGGAGCTTTAGGTTAGAATATTCCTCTTGTGTCCAAAATGACTGGTTAGCTGGTACAGGAACTGAACATCCAGGACCTAATAAAACATAATAAATTAGCTTCACAAAATGCAGCTTTAAAATTACTGCAATTCAGGAATTCCCTGGGAGTCCAGTGGTCAGTGCTCTGCACTTCCACTGCAGGGGGCCTGGGTTCAATCCCTGGTCAGGGGAACTAAGATTCCCACATGCAGTGCAGCAAGGACAAAAAAAAAAAAAAAAAAAAGAAAACTACTGCGTTTCAAGTTTGAATCATCTAAATACAACAAATTATCTAAAGAATATTTACAGTCTTTCCTTTAGCATCTAAATATCAGACATATCCCTTTAATTTGTGCTTTCAATTTACTCAAAGGTAGTGACCAAGGGTAATCTCTAATAAAATTCAAAATCACATACTTTCTAATGAAGACCTGACCATATCTAGGTTAGGATTTTTTAGTAATGAAATACTTGCTTAAGCAGCTCTCAGAGGAAAGAGTGTACAAAGGAATTATTAATTCAAATGAAAAACTTTAGGGACTTCCCTGGTGGTGCAGTGGTTAAGAATCTGCCTGCCAATGCAGGGGACATGGGTTCGATCCCTGGTCCAGGAGGATCCCACGTGCCGTGGAGCAACTAAGCTCGTGCGCCACAACTACTGAGCCCGCGCACCTAGAGCCTGTGCTCTGCAATAAGAGAAGCCACTGCAATGAGAAGCCTGCGCAACGCAACAAAGAGTAGCTCCCACTTGTCTCAACTAGAGAAAGTTCACATGCAGCCAGGAAGACCCAACGCAGCCAAAAATAAATAAATTTTTGAAAAAAAAACAAAAAAAACTTTAGAGCTAAAATGTAAAGACTAGTCCTGGGAGTATTACAAACCATCCATTTCCAAAATCAAGAAACTCCTTTTTTGAGAGGTTTGGCTTCTGCTCCAACATTTGCAAAGTGGTAGGTAGTCAAATACTTCAATTATTTAACTGCTCAATGTCAGCCAAACCGAACAAACTAAAGCATCTAAACAAGCACATTTCTGGAAATTCAAAATAAATGTGTTCAAGAAAGGGGTAAATGTATTAAAAAAAACCCAAAAAACTAAATCAGTAACAGCTGCTATCACCCACCCCTTGAAGAATTTGCTAAAGGGCTTCTTAAATAATCTGTATCTGTAGATAATTCCAATAACTGACTGCTTTAGGATTCTACTGTATAATCAACCCCAATTTTCTCTGAATTTATTGAAAGTTTCTGTGGAGAGACCATTATTGTCAGCTCTTGTTCCACCTCCCAGCTTGGTTCTCTATGTCTTATGGCTGAGACCAAGTTCTCTAAATTCATGAATGAACTGCAAAGACTGTTAAACTGCTCCACATCTCTAGAGACCACAACCATACATCTATGAATTCAAAGATTTGTAAGAAGCTGAATAAAGAGATATGAAAATTTAAACACTTCCTGATATTTGATTAACATAAATGGTACAGATATTAGGAATAAAGTCAATCTACAACTTATTAAACTAGAAACATTCTGTAAATTGAAAGAAAAAAAAAGAAACAAAGAAGTTCCTACCCTGCCACTCTGAGAAGCAGGAGCATCCTCTGACATCACTTGAATTGCAGATGCCTCGATGAGGAAAACCACAGTTATTTACACAGTGAGGGATGTCACATGCTTCACCTTTCCAGTTTTCAGAACATTCACATTGAACAGTGTTGCTGCTATTACTGATCTTACATTCTCCTCGGCCTGAGCAATTATTCGGACACATGTCAAAACTATAAAAATAGTGGGGGGAAATTAAATCAACACAAAGCAACATTTTGATTAACTTAGCAGAACTTCCTCCTACACAAGGCTTAAGAAATCTTACTGTCTAGCCAGTTCATTCACAAGCGTAATTGCAGTACTTACCATTTAGCCTAAATGGGATCACTCAACCCTGCAGAACTAGGGCAAGTAATAAAATCAAATTAAACCTGTTGGATTCTCATAAGAAGAGACAGTTAAAGAGATTACAAGAAGAGAAGAGATTCTTGCAAAATATCCAGGCTTAGCTCCTTAAGGACAGGATGACTATCCTAATTCTTGGTAGCCCACAAATGGTGAGCATTATAAAATTGCCAAATGCATGCTAGCAAGGCTGGAGAAGAAAAGGATAAAACAAATTGCAAACAATACACTACCATCCTCATTCCTCTGGATAGTCTCTAAAAGTTTACAGAATTTGCGTAAGATTATTGCTCAGATTGGTGTGTATTAAATTCCTTAGCAAGTTTATCTACCCATCTCAGATGCAAGAAAAGGGAGGGGTAGTTTAACTTAATACATGAGTTTAACCATAAAGTGTTGCATAGTAACGTGACAATGATATTGACAACACTTTGAAAAGACATAATTCTGATTTTAAAAAGGGGGGATAACAGGATTAGCAAGATACTGTAAGAGTGTAAAGAAAACTAAAAAGGAATTTTGTAGCAAAGCATGCCAGAAAATCAGGAATCAGTTACAAAACAAGCTAATTAACATTCACACCTACACCCTAACGTCAGTTCACGATACATTTATAATAAAATTTTATAAGTATGTATATATAGTATTTTTATAATCTATGTTATAATATAATATAATAAATGCATATGCCTACTTTTCAAACCCAGGCTTGTGATGAGCTGCCCAGGCTGCTAAGTCACAAACCTTGGGTACCTGAAAAACTGAATCACCATACCAATCAAGATAAAGATGGCTTTAACTAGGGTTGAAAGACTACTGAGATTCTGAGAAAATGGGCAAGAAAAAGAACCCAGTATAAAGGTTACACACGGGGGTTATCAGCTATACCAGGAGTTGTCAAACGTATTGTGTAAAAGGCCAGATAATATATATTTTAGGTTTTGTGGGCCACAGAAGTTCTTTATCACAGACCCCCTGCTTATGGCATTTTATGAATTTAACTACTTCTGAAAATAAACATTTCTTAGGAAAAAAAGGTAAAGACAGAAGTTAGCTTCTCTCCTACTGCAACAAATTCCAAAAGCTGCCCAGAGTCTGTCTGTCTACATTTCCTTTGTAACCTCAACTAAGTTGTCATCAATGGGCCAACTACTGAGTACATGAAAACTACTAATATTTGTTAAATTGTACTTAGCAAACTCCTCCAAAGTTTTTATCCATTGGCAGGAATGGATAATGCCCCTCTTTTCCAGGAGACGCTCAACAGCAGCAAGACCTGGGTTGCAACTCTGGTCCCACTGCTTTGACAATTTACTTTACCTTTTCCTGCCACTTGCCTCATTTATAAAAGAAGTAGAAAAACAGTGGCTGTAACTGAGTTTTTAAAAGAACTTTAAATGAGAAAATTCATGCAAACTGCTTAGCATAATGCCTGGCACATTGTAAACCCTCAATATGTTAGTCATTATTATTGTTAAAACAAAGTATACAGTCTTCTGAAAAAAATCACAAATATTACACTTAAATATCTTACTTGTAAGTGATATTAAATCCAGTCAAATTATAAGCAGCATCACTAAAAAAATGCAGCAGGGCATAACCTGATGTGGCAACGACCTCTGGGACAGTCTCGTTGCCATCTCTCTCAGGAACAATGAGGCCACTGAAATGAAAACACATGTCTTATAAAGGGAAGCATAATCACAGACACATCACATGGTGACAGAACACAAATTCAACTGGATTTCACCCTTGTAATTTAAAAAGCCACCTATAGGAAGAGGGCCAAATTCCTGTGATAAATGCACAGGAACAGATCTGAATCTTTTGCTAAGCTCTTCTCTATTCTAGGTTATATATATATATATATATATATATATGTATTCTTTTTTTTTTTGCGGTACGCGGGTCTCTCACTGTTGTGGCCTCTCCCGTTGTGGAGCACAGGCTCCGGACGCGCAGGCTCAGCAGCCATGGCTCACAGGCCCAGCCGCTCCGCAGCATGTGGGATCTTCCCTGACCGGGGCACGAACCCGTGTCCCCTGCATCGGCAGGTGGACTCTCAACCACTGCGCCACCAGTGAAGCCCCTAGGTTATATTTTAAATGAGATTTGAAACCGACGACCCTATTCTTTTTTTTTTTAAGTAAAACATTTTATAATACTCCTTTGAAAAACTGAGTAAACCTCCACAATCACAGAAAGTAACAAACTTTATGAGTTCATGGATACCAAACATATACCATTGAAAGACATGAAAAGTAAAAATAGAAATAAAAGTTTGATATACAAACATCCATCATCCCAATACTATTAGCATTCTGATGTACTTTCTTTGTTTAATTGATACCATGTTACATATCATATTCTATTTTACAGGTAATATACCATAAGCATTTCTATGTCTCTAAGAGCTCCCTCAGAACTTTTAGAACCTTACTCAGAGCTCAGCCCACAACAGTATCTGTTGGGTGTCTACAAAGAGAAAGAATTACCGAGTCAAAGGGTCTAAATGATGGCTTTAAGGCTCTTAATCCATATACCAATTTGCTTTCCAGAAGAGAGATGGTGACTTGAAATCCCACCAATAGAGAATGAAAGGGTCCATCCCACCTAACCCCGCCAACAAGGAGAATTACCAGTCCTACTTTAGTTTTGCTAATTTAATATGTGAAAGTGATTTTTTTAACCTGTGGTTTTGAGCTTCTCTTATACTCCTGAGGTTAATCATTTTTCCTATGTTTACTTGCATCTTTTGCTTTTCTTCATATGCTCCTATCTTTTGCCCAGTTATTGTTCAGTACCACCATCATCTCACTCAGTTAAAGCCTAACTCCTTACCAGGCCCTGTGCAATCTGTTCCACACACACAATCCCATCCGATGAACAAACGTCTCATGTATTACAGATGGTCCCCGACTTACAATGGTTCAACTTACAATTTTTTGACTTACAGTTTTTTGACCTACAATTTTTTGACTTTACAATGGTACAAAAGGGATACACATTCAGTAGAAACTGTACTTAGAATTTTGACCTTTTCCCAGGCTAGCGATATGCTGTTGATACTCTCTCACGATGCTGGGCACCAGCACAAAGCTGTAGCTCCCAGTCAGCCACACGATCACAAGGGTAAACAACCAATACACGTACAACCACTCTGTACCCAGACAACCTTTCTGTTTTTCACTTCCAGTACAGTATTCAAAATTACATGAGATATTCAACATTATAAAGTAGGCTTTGTGTTAGATGACTCTGCCCAACTGTAGGCTAATGTAAGTGTTCTGAGCACATTTAAGGTGGGCTAGGCTAAGCTATGATGTTCGGTAGGTGAGGTGTATTAAATGCATTTCAACTTACAATATTTTTAACATACAATGGGTTTATCAGGACATAACCCCATCATAAGCCAAGGAAGATCTGTACTCTCTTCCTTTCACTGGCTCAACCCCAGCCACACGGGCCTCTTTTCTTTCCTAAAGCACATACTTTTGGGCTGATGACTATCTCAAATGCTCATTCATTATGACCTAGCAATTCTATTTCTTAGTAGAAGAAACACTTGCTCACATACACAAATATATAAGAATCCTCACCGCAGCACTATTCAGAATGAGAACAGGTTGAAAACCACCTAAATGGTCATCTGGGAGCTGGATGAATGAGTCATTACATACGTTAGGTCTGCAGGACTGACAAGGCGCTCATCAAGGCATTCTGATGAGTAGGAATAAAAACAAGCTGCAAGACGATGGGCCTAGTATATGTGTACATTTATGTGTATTTATACAAGTGCATATAAAAATGAGTGGAAGAGCATATAAGCAGGGTGTGAGGAGGAAGAAGGGATGGGATTTTCATTCAACAAGTTTTCAATATGCAGGCAGAACTAGGGGTTGCAAAACGGTGAAGCATTTTCTACTATGCATTCAACTAACAAATACTAAGTACTTACTACAAGTGAGGCACTGTTCTAGGTACCAGGAATACAACAGTGAAGACGTCTCTGCCTTTACTGGAGTTCATGCCAGAGAAAGAATAAGCCTAGATACGAACCCCCAACCCCTGGCCCACAGGTGTGTATATATAATGCCAGGTAGAGGTAAATACTATGAAGGGAAATAAAACAGAGTAAAAGAACAGAAAGTGCTACTTTAGAAAGGGCATTTAGGGAAGGACTCTTGGAAGAAATGACATTTGATCATAGACCTAAATGAAGGTTTCAACCATCATCATGCTTTCATCAGTTTTATATACCAGAATCCCCTAAAATGATGAGGGGTAAGTACTTGCAAGAGCAGGGCCACCTAGAAACACGTATGTCAAAAGCAATCTTGCCGTAAGAAATACTGGCACAGTAAAGGACTGGGGGACTCAGTCACATGTAGGACACTCTTTGTTATCTTAGCATGAGCTTCAGGGTCAGAGACGTGAGCTCCAATTCTTGTTCCACAAGCCTGTGCATGTCACTGACATCTCTGAGCCTTAGCTTCCTCAAAAGCACAATGAAAGAAATCCTATCTACCTCACAGCAATGTAATGAGAAACTGTTAAAGCATGTGAAGGGCTTAAATAGCATCTCACACTAGTAGGTGCTCAATAAGAGATAGCTAATGGTATTTATTATTTATATGGTGGGGACATTTAAATGTATAGAACGAATGGCAGAATGGGTGGAGGGAGAAAGAATGGAGAGTCAGAAGGAGTGGGAGGGCCACCTGCACTAGATGACCACGTTGCTGGAGAAAGGGGATCAGCTTCCCTACTGTCAGAGAGACTTAGGCATTTGCTTCTTTTCACTTCAAAAACTTGTGACAGCTTCAGAATGTGCTTTTTCCCAGTGTGAAAATAAAACAACTGGTTTATGACAAAAATAAACTTTGTACAGAATAAATGAATATAAACCTCAACCCAGTGTGCAAGGCAATAGAAAGTGTGTGGGTGAGAAAGTGATGCTGCAGGCTTGCCGTTCAACTGTCACCCTGAGCTGCCTCCACCACCCTGTCCCCTGCCCCTAGGCAGGTAAATAAATGCAGGCTCAGTTTAGGCTGCAGCCAGCTGTTCAACTTGAGAAAATCAAGAACTGCTTGCCCTGGGGTTCTTCATAATCTTATATTGGAAACACAGAGTACCATTGTTTAGAACCATTTCTGAAAATCGCTGAACTGAAGATACTGTCTTAATTCAACATAACTGTCCCAGACAGATATAGGCTCTCTGAACACACCTGGGGCACAGTCTGACTTTCCCAACTACACTATGTTAAGTTTACATAGTTGGCAAATCCTCAGTTTGACACACCTCTCTCCTTGCAAAACTATACACACAAGGACAGGCAGATGTGGAAGGTAAGCCAGATTTTTAAAGTCAGGGTTAGGAGCCTGGGGATGGGTCCAAACAGCATCTATACTTCTGAGTGGTGAAGGAGGGTCCACAGCCACAAAAGAGGTGCCTGCCTTTGATTACCTGCCACAAACTGACCACGATTTCCATGGGGTGCTGGACAGGCTGACTCCCGCTTTCACAAGACTTCCTCTAACAGCTCTGCATCACAGCCTAAACAAATGTCTCACCAGTATTTGACTTTCTTAAAAATAACAACAAAAACCTCTAGAAGGAATAAGAATTTCCTCAGAGAGGAAAACTATTCTCCCTGCTCTATCACCACTACCACCTCTGCATCTCCCTACCAACAGATCTGAGCAGAGCGAGCAGGTACTCCACAAAGGTGCTGCACTTATGCATTTGTTGAAGTGAATGCACCACAAAGTCATAATGTTGTGCAGCTGGAAGAGACTTGCTCTAGTGGTTCTCAAATTTGTCCAGTAATGGAACTCTGTTTGTTAAACAAATTTTATTCAGAATTTCAGCATATAAAAGATAATGTGATCAACCAGTTCAGAGTCAAATTAAACTTCATGGACTGCAATACACCCAGAGAAAACACAGTACAACACCTTCATTTTAGGCTTCAGAAGATGAGGACTAGAGTGCTTAAATGAACTATTCAGACTCATGCAGAGCCTTGGGCAGAACGCAGATTAAAAGTCCAAATCTTCTGAATCCTGTGTGGCTCTCTTTTTCTTTATTTGGCTGAACTATCTGCCGCCAGGCTCACTCCACTCTGGGCCCCCAGCACATCACCACTGGGTTGATTCCTCTATCCAAAGTCCTCCTGACCCAACAGCACTCCTCAGCTCCCCATCTTGTGACATTGCCTTATGACCTAAACAGTTATTTTCAAATTCTTCTGCACATCAATGCTTCAGGGGTTCTGTGTTTCAGGTAAATTTCAATTATTAAACATACATTATCTCACTATGATTTTAGAAAATGCACACTCAATTATGTCATAGGTTAAATTTTAACACAATCAATGCATTAATTTATACATTTCAGTAAATAAACTTTTTTATAGAAGCTTAAAAATCCTCCTGTTGTCTGTACATATACTGTGGCTTCTCTCAAAAGTCACTGACTGAAACAGTTATACCCTTCTGCTTGTTTTGTGGTTGCTGTTGGTTCACATGTCTGCTCATTAAATACACAGTCTGGGTGAACTACAGGGTTATGCATACCCTCTGGGCAGATGTTCCCACAGGGCTATTGGCAAGCTGATTCAAAGTGCCTGGCACATAAAGAGAGGACTCCATGGGTTTTGATTAACAAATGCAGTATCAAGTAAACCTCCAACAAGTACTATTATCATGATAACATCATACTACAGATAGTTTTTGTGCTGTGTTAAAGTTTGGGGTGCCTCTTGCTATAAGACAAGGTATGAGTCAAATTCTGGCATAAAGATGTATATGCCCAACATGTAGCCAATATTTTGATGCTTAGCATGGCCTATCCACGCTGTTCTTTGGCCCTCTAAGTGAATCTCTAAAACCCAGAAAATGGCCTTGGTTCTCAGTTCAAAGACATGTTGCAGAGATTTCTAAGCCAAAGGGAGTGGAGAAATACAAGGGCACATTAGTTCCCTGATCTCAGCTGTCCTTTGCCTCCTCATGTTCTGTTCACTCTCTGTTATCTCCTCACCTACAAGAGACATCAACCAGCCCCATGTGAGGAATACAAAAAATATTTGTTAAATTGATTTCTTTTAAAGTCAGGGAAATCAAATATTTGAGGGAAAGAAATCCAGAAAGTCAGCTGACAACTATGACTCTCTAAGGATACGCATTTTAGAAAAAATATATTTAAAAAATCCTCTATCAAGTAAAAGGAAGAAAAATAAAACAGTTTTGAATTTGCATGTGGTCAAAAATATAATAAACAACACAGCTACTTACTGTTAATAAAAAGTAAAATGTCAAAACAATTCAGAGCACCCCATGTATTTGGTGTTAAGCTGTTTAACAACAAACACAGAATATACTGTAGAAAAAAAATCACAACACGTAACTGGAATGTTCCTCATTCTCCACAGGTAACCACTGTTCATTTTATGTATACTCTTCCAAAACTTTTCCCTCACCCATATTAAGGTATATACATAATTACACATCACACACACACACACACACACACACACACACACACACACACAGAGCTATATCTGAATTCAACAAATAACTCCTGAATGCCTATGCAATGAAGAACACAACAAGGATCAAGATAAACATGGTTCCTGATTTAATTTTTCACAGAAATAATATATTCGATATATTGCTCACAAAACATTTTTAGATGTAAACTTCACCACCACCACAAGAAGTAGGTAAATTTGATACTACTATCACAACTTTATAGATCAGGAAACTAAAAAGAGAGGTCAAGTACTCTGCCCAAAAACTCACCCAGAAGCTACAGGAAACCAAGTTAGGACTAGCACACAAGTGATAGGACTCCATAACTAGTACTCTTTCCATGAAGTAAATGTTTTAAGTGATAAAAAAGGTGAATCCAGTAAGAATACAATCTAGGAGATACATAAATGCAGAAATCAAACAATGGTTAACCAGTATTTATATGACTGAGCTTACCTAAAGGCAGCAACTAGAGGTGCGTAAATTGAGTCCCCATCATAAACATATAAATGGTCCCAACTACACTCTGTAGCAAAATGATTGAAACGAAGTCTCATTATTCTATTTGGCCTGAAAAGAACAGAAAAAAGTAATTTATAATAATCATAATCACTATAAAACATTTGAGAAAAAAAATATAGATTTTTAAAGAATTTATATATAAAGAAGAAATTAATAGTATGTAATCAGTACTCCTTCACTTGTCAAAGATTTCCTTAGTACTTTCTATGTGCTAGAGACCACTAAATATGCAATGGTAAACAAAATAGACATGGTCTATGCATCTTTGGGCCTTATAGTCTATACAGTGGCCATTCTTTACCAATCCATCAGCCTTTCTTATTCAACTTAAGATTTCATACTACATCATTTTACAAACACACCTGCCAATCCTCTAAACTCACCTGCCCCTCTGCCTTTTCATGGAACTCCCTGGAAGAAGCCCTGGTATAGAGAAAACCAAGCCATTTTGGAGAAAGTCACAACATTGGGTAGGCTGGTTCCAATACTGGTGCTTCGATTCTGCCAGCAGTCCTACTACTAGTTCTCAATTTCTATTTCAGACCACCCAGTCCCACCTCCCTGCTTATGCTCAGCACTCAGACAAAAATTTCTCAAATTCCCACTTTCTAAAATAGATACATCTACCTACTTTTCCTTCCATCTCTCAAATATTTAACATCTCCGTCTCATCTGAAACTTCCAAGTCCAGACTTAAATCTCTTTAAGTATCACATATTTTACAAAAAACAACAAAACACAAAAAACTTTAAATCCCAACTCTCCTTCCAGCTACTATCAGACCTATCCCTTTCTCCTCTGAAACTCCTCAGGAGACTTCGGTTTTCTCCATTTCCTCACATCCCACTCACCTTTTCACTCTCCAACCTGGCTTTAGGCCAAAGACTCTACTCCAAAAGTTCTTGGTAATATCAACACCATCTATATACTGGTGATTCCTAACTATATGTCTCCAGCCTGAACCTTTCATCTACCCTATACTTCTTGTCTAACCAAACAATTAAATAAATACATAAACAAGTTAACTCACATGGTGATGAATACTGGGAAGAAATTAAAGGAATGTGATGTAGTAGTACAACAGGTGGTGGGGAGATACCCCAGAAAGTTTTGGAAAAGATCAGAATGGCGAGAGATAAGCCATGTGAAAAGTCTGGGGGGACAATGTTTCAGGCAGATAGAATAACAGTCTTAAAGTTTTAGACTTTAGAAGTTGATGTGTCCAAGCAACGTGAAGAAAATCAGCATGTCTGAAACATAGCAAACAGAAGGAATAAGATAAGAAGTGAGTGAGAGGTGGGCAAGGGGCAAAGGTAAAAACCGGAGGCCAATTTCAAGGCTATTACAGTGGCCCAGGAAAGAGAGGATGGCTGGTGGTTCTTAAAATAACTGTAGAGTTGAAGATGAAGAGGATTGGGGAGATATTCTTGAGGGGAAAACTGATAGAACTTACTGACAGGCTGAATATGTGGATAAGGAAACGGAGGATTTGAAGTTTTTTGCTTAGTTTTATGCTTAGGCTGAGGTGGAGCAACCACTGACAGCACACTCAGAGCAACAGTGGAGAAGGACATCAGATGGGAGTGAACTGGTAGAAAGGGCAAGGGCAGACAGCTCCTTAGAGCAGCAGTTCTCCGAGTATGGTCCACACAATGCCAGGGTCCCTGAGGCCCTTTTAGGAGGTCCAAGAGGTAAAAACTATGGTTATTTAGACTTGGATATCTGGTAGATATTTTCTTGAAAATGAACAAAGCAAGCCTGTATTTGTTGCCAAAGAAAATATAAGCTTTCAAGCAATAATGAGTTTTGGAAAATTTGTACCTACCACCCAGATACAACTTCCCAATACTTAAAATTTTCTGATGAGATTGATGGTGATTTTTAACTACGGTGATGTTTTAAATTTCATATAATGAAATATATCGACATCTGGAAGACCTGCATAATTCAGTGAACCAATATTTTCCGAATGTTACAAAATCATGCATGGGTTAAAGATCTATTTAAAGTACAAGAAAACCAATTAAAAAATTTTTTTTAATTTTTGGCCATGCCACACGGCATGTGGTATCTTAGTTCCCTGACCAGGGATCGAACCCATGCCCTCTGCAGTGGAAGCGTGGAGTCTTAACCATTGGACCGCCAGGGAAGTCCCATAGAAAACCAGTTTTAACTTAACAAGTTCTAAAAGTTCATTAGGATCATTTCAGATTCCACACTGCAATTCAGTTTTAAGAAATTACCACTTGTCCAGTTTTGGTCCAGTCTTCTAAGACTGTCCACAATTATTTTAAAGGGTTATTAATGGTTGCAATGCGAGTGAATGCATGTGACACTTTCTGCAAGAAGCTTTTAAGAAGCAGGTCTGCTTTCTCCGTACTTCCTCCTTCCCCTCCTGCTGGCTGCAGTTAGCCAACAGTGAAGCTAATGAATGAATGGCAGAGCTTGGGTCCTACTACCAATGGGAAGAAAGCTGCCTGCTGACCAGGAACACCTGCCTTGGAACTGTTATGTGAGGAAGAAATAAACTTCCATATGTTAAATCACTAAAAATAGTAAATAAATAAATAAGTAGGCCTATTAAAATCTCTTCCCTTCCCTACTACATATTCAAGTGAAGTCTAATCTTCTTCATATACCTCAACCATAATAAAATATTGTAACAGTTTTTTAACTATTACAACTGAAAATATACAAATTTCTGGTGTGTATAATTCATTTGCAAATCAACACAGAAGTTTTTTTCAATTAACATTGAAGATTAAGAAAAATAAGAAAATCAAATTCACTTGTCAAAGTAAAGGTTACCAAATAAAAAATATTTTAAGTTGCCACAGATTGTTAATTTTACATGTTGGAAAAGTAATCTCACAATGAGTTCTATCCTGAAGAAAAAAAAAAAAAAACTTAGCCATTACTACTTACTGTCCTTCAATGAGCCATGTGCACTTTGTTTTATATTTATAATTTCCAGGTCCATCTGTTATAAACCCAGAAGATCCAGTTAGTCTGTAATTCAAAAAATAAAAAAATTTAAATGCATCAAAATTTCATATATTAATAATATCTTTCTTAATTCTCAATACAATCCAAGTGGGTACACTGATGCATACTATGACCAGAAGAAAAAGACTGGATAGTTATACACAGATTACACAAATCTGGATGAAACAAATTCACGCCATATACTTAAGAAAAGGGGATACAAATACATTAAAAACAACAGGAATGAACAAAAACATACATCTTTCTAGCTGAGATGGGAAAATCACACTTTGTTTCCATACAAATGGCCACAAGAAGTTAGTTATAAATATCAGTTGGTTTTTAAAAAACAAGGCCACACAGTTACCATTACAAGTAAAATGTGTAAATGCAATAAATAACGCTGTGGCCAGCATAACTATGATGCGCAAGCACATCAATCCACAACACACAACAGACCCACCACAGCTATTTAGTTGCTTCTTCTGAAGTGGCAATCTACCACACTCTGTGAGCAGTGCACATCAGCACCTGACTTCCCACACACATGCCAAGCTTGAAGTTTATCAATATTTTTAGGTCTTGCCAATATGACAGGTACATCTTAGTATCTCATTAATATTTTTACTAGTACTAACCCTAATGTATGAAGATTCTCATGTGTTTTGGTCATTTGCATTTTCTCCTTTGCAAATTAAGACTCAATATTCTTTACTCACTTTGCTACCAAGTTATCTTTTTCAAAATAATGTTTAAGAGCGCTATTTATATTAAGAAGCTCCCATTTGTATGGTAAATGTACTATAAACATATTTTCTCAGTTTATGTCTAGTATATATTGTAGAAATATATACTAGAAATGTAGAAATTTTTAATATTTAACAATGCTATTTCTTTCCTCTTTGCTGTTTCCAGATCACTTTTCCTCCCTCTTCCATCAACAATGTCAGCCTTTCTGAAACAAATGCTCTCTTCTGGATCTGCCTCCCTTACTTTCTGAGTTATCTACTGACATCCCAATTACTCCTCTCCACCCACTCCAGATATCAGCATCTAGCTCACTGCCTTCCATTTAGCCACATCCAAGATGTCCCATCCAAAGCCCAGCCTCTCCATTTCTTAACTTCACCATTAACAATTTTTTCCTCTACCCCACTTTAGTTACCCACTCTTTTCAGCCCTGCTGTTAGGAGTGAAAACTCTACCATAAAATCTCCATTTAAAGCGACCTACACTCTGACCACCATCTTTGCTCTCTCTACTTCATTTAGCCTAATTCCCCCTCTCCAATGAATCTTCAGCCCCGACCTCCAATCCACACAACTATCACTTCTTTATGTTCATCACTCACACATTTCACTTTCTCACTTACCTAGGTATGATTCCAGGGTCCATCGCAATTATCATCCCCTGCAAATCTCTTGACTTCTTTGCATTCTCTCTCTCTCTGCTGTACTTGCCTGATATAAATGTCTCTGTGTCTTACTCCCCAACATCCATTCCATTCCCAAAATATTAGTCTAAGCCAATCATGGTTTCCTGTGCCCCTTGCCAATTAGAAATGTGTATTAGTTAAGATTAAGTTCTAATGCAACTGACAGAAAAACCTAAATAGTAATGGCTTTAACCAAGATATAAAGCCCTGGGCTTCCCTGGTGGCGCAGTGGTTGAGAGTCCACCTGCCAATGCAGGGGACACGGGTTCGTGCCCCGGTCCGGGAAGATCCCACATGCCGCAGAGCGGCTAGGCCCGTGAGCCATGGCTGCTGGGCATGCGCGTCCGGAGCCTGTGCTCCGCAACGGTAGAGGCCACAACAGTGAGAGGCCTGCGTACTGGAAAAAAAAAAAAAAAAAAGATATAAAGTCCAAACATAAGCAACCTGGAGCACATAAAGCATTTCTATGCTCATCAGGGAGCTAATTAATGTTCTGCCATCTTGTTGCTCCGTCATCCTCAACATGTGCTTCCACCTCATAATCCAAGATGGCTGCACAAACTCCAGTTATTATTTCCATATTCTACACAGTAGGAAGGAGTTGAAAGAAAACAAGGTACATACCCCTGCCCTCTAAGTCAAACATGACAATTCAACTTACCCCCTAGCCAAAAATTAGACATACCTAAATGTACAGGGAGGCTGAGAAATATAGCCATTATCCCAGATGACCATATACTCTGTGAAAAATCAGGACTCTTTACTAATGAAGAGAAGACTACTACTTCTGTCACAGCATGTAATCTAATCTTAGATGTGAGGGGAAGTCTGATGGAGGGTTTCTAGGAAATATTTCCTCATTCCTAGCTACGACACCTAGATCTCCTCTTCAATAAGACTTGTTGCCAGCTGCAGAAATGAGTGTGGTCAACAGACAGCATCCAGCTGTCAGTTCCATTGGAGCTGCCTTGCCCTAGGTCATGCCCTTCCCAGCACAGCCCACACAGAGTGGGTATAAAGGCTGGGCATTTTTCAGTCTAACATGGGACAACTCTGGCAGGCAATCCTTACTCCAGAACTCTCCTTTGTCAGGCCTGCATTGAAGCTCAACTTCTTCCTTTGCCCAGTTCTGCTTCCTGCCCCTTCCTCTCACAGATGCTATAATTAACTTGTACCCCAAACTCCATTTCAGAAAATGCTTCCAAGAAACCCAGCCTATGACAGACAGACATCCAAAGAGACCATCCTTCTTCCTCTGGACTTTGCTATGTTTGGATTTTACTTCAGCCATCACGCTATGAGTCTAAACACAAAGCCAACACCAAGGATGACAAATCAAAGGAGTGCCAAGGTCCCTGAAGAGCCACACCAAACAGCCACAGAGACCACCCCAGGTTTACAGGTAAATAAATTTCCCAGTAGTTCAAACAGTTTTGTGGCTTTCTACTATGCTTCTTTTGTTTCTAAGAATTTCTACAGACTTCACATGGACATGTTCAGATATTTGCAAATCTGCATCCCTTTTGGAGAAAATATAGGTCAATTTTGAATATTTACTTCATATCTTTAAACATACACATTTACATAATTTTACAGGTAGTGAATAGATATGATCAGACAGGCTTTTTTGGGTCAACTAAAGGACAATTCTCCCTTGTCCACTGATCTCCCCAAGCACTCCACCCCTTCTCCCCACCAAGATAAACATTTAACAGAATTTCCATCCTGTTCCGCTGATCTATATTTCTGGTTTTGTGCCAATACCATACTGTTTTCTTAATGGTAACATTTATATATTTTTTAGTTTATTATTTATTTTTGGCTGTGTTGGGTCTTCGTTGCTGCACGCAGGCTTCTCATTGAGGTGGCTTCTCCTGCTGCGGAGCACAGGCTCCAGGCACATGGGCTTCAATAGTTGTGGCACACGGGCTCAGCAGTTGTGGCTCACGGGCTCTAGAGCACAGGATCAGTAGTTGTGGTGCACGGGCCCAGCTGCTCTGTGGCATGTGGGATCCTCCTGGACCAGGGCTCAAACCCGTGTCCCCTGCATTGGCAGGCAGATTCTTAACCACTGTGATACCAGAGAAGTCCCCATACTGTTTTGATTACTGTAGTTTTGTTGTATAGTCAGAAGTCATGGAGCCTGATTCCTCCATCTCTGTCTTCCTTTCTCAAGATTGCTTTGGCTATTTGGGGTCTTTTGTGTCTCCATACAAATTTTAAGATTTTTTGTTCTACTTCTGTGAAAAATGTCATTGGTAATTTGATAGGGATTGCAATGAATCTGTAGATCACCTTGCGTAGTATAGTCATTTTGACAATATCGATTTTCCCAATCCAAGAACATGGTATATCTTTCTGTCTGTTTGTGTCATCTTTGATTTCTTTCTTCACTGTCCTATAGTTTTTGGAGTACAGGTCTTTTGTCTCCTTAGATAGGTTTATTCCTAGGTATTTTACACTTTTTGATGCAATGGTAAATAGGATTGTTTCTGTAATTTCTCTTTCTGGTCTTTCCTTGTTAGTGTATAGAAATGCAAGAGATTTCTGTGTATTAATTTTGCATCCTGCAACTTTACCAAATTCATTGATGAACTCTAGTAGTTTTCTGGTAGCATCTTTAGGATTTTCTATGTATAGTATCATATCATCTGCCAACAATGAATTTTATTTCTTCTTTTCCAATTTGGATTCCCTTTATTTCTTTTTCTTCTCTGATCACCGTGGCTAGGACTTCCAAAACTATGCTGAATAGAAGTGGCAAGGGTGGACATCTTTGTCTTGTTCCTGATTTTAGAGAAAATGCTTTCACCTTTTCACCATTGAGTATGATGTTAGCTGTAGGTGTGTCATACATGGCCTTTATTATGTTGAGATATGTTCCCTCTATTACAACTTTCTGGAGAGTTCTTATCATAAATCGGTGTTGAATTTTGTCCAAACCTTTTCCTGCATCTACTGAGATGATCATATGGTTTTTATTCTTCAATTTGTTGATGTAATGTATCACAATGACTGATTTGCGGATATTGAAAAATCCTTGCATCCCTGGGCTATATCCCACTTGATCATGGTGTACAATTGTTTGAATGTACTGTTGGATTTGGTTTGCTTGTATTCTTTTGAGGATTTCTGTGTCTATGTTCAGCAGTGATATTGGCCTGTAATTTTTTGTGTGGTATCTTTGTCTGGTTTTGGTATCAGAGTGATGGTGGTCTCATAGAATGAATTTGGGAGTGTTCCTTCCTCTGTGATTTTTGGCAATAGTCTAAGAAGGATAGGTGTTAACTCTTCTCTAAATGTTTGATAGAATTTGCCTGTGAAGCCATCTGGTCACGGACTTTTGTTTGTTGGAAGTTTTGTTTGCTGGAAGTTTTTAGATCACAGTTTCAATTTCAGTACTTGTGATTGGTCTATTCATGTTTTCTATTTCTTCCATGTTCAGTCTTGGAAGATTATACCTAAGAATTTGTCCATTTCTTCTAGGTTGTCCATTTTATTGGTTGCTTATGATCCTTTGTATTTCTGTGGTGTCATTTGTATTTGAGACCTCTCCCTCCTTTTCTTGATGAGTCTGGCTAAAGGTTTA